ATTCTCTGATATAACACAATAAAAAAGAAAATAACGGCAAAGAAGGCAAACAGATGGAGAAAAAAATATATATATATATACATATATATAACCCTTTGGTTATTTATGAAAAGCCAAAAAACTCTTCTGAGCACAACTATTTGGAAATAGTAATATTTTACTTGTAAAAGTCCCATTAAATAAACACACAGAAAGGCCAGTTACTAAAATTAGGAAAAGAGCAACACGTTTTATAAATATAACTAAAATTTTCTATAGGGCGCCATGTCAGCAAACATAATTTACATTTTTGGTAATCTAAGATAAATTTAGTGAATAAGTCACATACTTGTCCTTCAGCAGACTTTAATGACAGCAAAAGCTCTACAGTTGCTGACAGTTAACAAAATTGTCAGTCTTTATTTCTATCCTTTTTCAAATATTCTATCAGAAGTACAAAGAAAAAAAAAAAAAGAACTTTAGAGCTGAGAACTGCCTGCCAGCCAGCTTGCAATGAAAACCCCATCACTGTAGCACTGAGGGTCTCTGACACACTGCAGCAGTACAACTGATAAAACTTCTCATGGGGTTGAACAGTGGTGGGGTGTTGGCCGAAGAGAATGCACTGAAAGTCATAATATCTCAGACCTTTGTGATGTTGGGGGGTGAGTAATTATAAGATCCACAGAATAAAGTGACTGTTGCTAGGGGATGTCAATACACTGGAGAAAGAATGAAAGGTTGAGGAAAATCAATCATCAACTTAAGGTGAGGTATGTATTTCAAGGTTTCCATGGCAACATAAAAAAACCTCCTCTTTGACAGTTATGAGACAGAAAAAGCAAAGGAGTTGGCACGGTATTTAATTATAAGGACAGCATAGCTACAGATAGGGTTGTGTTCACAGCCATGAAAGCTGGAGTAGTGACTTTAAAACCTGGGTACATAAAGTGTCATCATGGCCACCTGTTACAGTGAAGAAATATGAAGAATGCATAAAAAAAAAAAGGAGTTTTGGCCCAGGTCTGGTTCACAGTAGCTCCACTGAGTCATTATATCTAATTCATGGCAATTTCCATATACCTTAAATGCATGATTTGGTGGATACTTGGTAGATCCCCAGATGGTTTCTTGGCCTTGGGAGTACGAGCTGTCAGTGAGAAAAGCCAAGTGGAAGCCTCTGAGATTGCCCTCCCCTCACCCTCCTTCATCTTAGCCAAGACAATAAATCAAAACTGCATCACGGACATCAGCAATGTGGAGGACCAAGAAGTCTCACTCAGCCCTCACAAAAACAACGATTTAAAAGTAGTGAACTACAACAGCTACAGAAGAGTGTTCGCATTCAATAAAGAAGCTGCAGCATCCCAGGAGCATCAACACTGAGACTGGTCAAAGAGAGAAAGGAAAAAGCGTTCCACCTGCCCCAGGTCATTCCCCAGGCAGTGCCACCCAGTGACAAGAGGAATTCTCTGCACTGTGAGTTCTCCCTCACAGGAACAGGACCAGGACCAGCAGCCCTCGCCACTGAGGACTGCCACAGTCTTGGCCAACAGAGATGACGGAGCCTACGCTGCTATGCCTCCTGGGACTGGAGCCACGTGCGCCCCCCAGGGCCGGCACCCCAGGTCCTGTGCATGTACACCCCACACCCAGCACCACTACTGCATGCACACCTCACCCAGAGGAGGGAGAGAGAAAGGGACAAAAAGTTTCCTTAAAGAAATCATGACCTCGAATTTCCCAAGCTGGAGAAGGAAACAGACATCAAGATTCAAGAAGCCCAAAGAATCCAAATAGGCTGAATGTAAAGAGGTCTAACTTAAGACATATTACAATTAAATTATCAAAAGTCAAAGACAGAGAATTTCGAAAGCAGTAAGAAAAAAGTAATTTGTCACAGTAAATGGAACCCCCATAAGATTATCAGTGAATTTCTAAGTAGAAACCTGGCAGCCTAGGACAGAGTCAAATGACTTATTCAAAGTACTAAAAGAAAAACTGCTAATATACCTGGCGAAACTATCCTTAAAAATGAAAAAAGAGATTAAAGTCTTTCCCAAACAAATACAGACTGAGGGAGTTCATTACAACTAGACCTACCTTAGAAAAACTGCTGAAGGGATTTCTTCAGATTGAAGCAAAAACATGCTGAACAGTATATGGAAACATAACTCTCCCTGGTAAAGGTAAATACATGGTCAAATACAGGAGAATGCAACGCTGTGATGGTGGCACGCAAATGCCTTCAAATCCGAAAAGACAAAAATACTAAGAATAACTATAACCACAAAAAAAACTGTTTATGGGTACACAATATAAAAAGAAGTAAACTCTGACTAAAAGTACTTGAAGAGGAGTAAAGTAAAAATGTAATTTTTGCATGTGAGTGAAGTTAAATTGTTATCAACTTAGAGAGAACTACAAGATATTTTATGTAAGCCTCAAGGTAACCACAAAGAAAAACCTACAATATATATACACATACACAAAAGGAAAAGAATGGAAACAAATCACAACCAAAAAAAATCATCCAATAACAAAGGAAGACAACAAGAGAGGAAGAGGACAACTTCAAAGCAGACAGCAAACAATTAAAAAATGACAATATTAAGTCCTCACTTATCAATAATAACTTTCAATGTAAATAGGTTAAATTCCCCCAATAAAAAGACAGTGCGGCTAAATGTATTTAAAGAGAGAGAGAGGCTGTGATAAGCTGTCTATAAGAGATTAGATTCAAGGACACACATAATAATAGAAATAACCAATGAATTCAGTAAAGTTCCAGTTTTCACAGCAAAAGAAACAATCAACAACAACAAAAAACCCCATATGATGGAAGAAAATAGTTGCAAACCATATGTCAGATAAGAGGTTAATACCCAAACTATATAAAGAACTCTTACAACTCAGCAACACAAACAACAAAAATCCAATTAAAAAATGGGCAGAAGACCTAAACAGGCACTTTTCCAAAGAAAACATCGAAATGGCCAACAGTATATGAGAAGATGCTCAACATCGCTAATTATCAGATTAATTCAAATCAAAGCCACAATGAGAAATTACTTCATACCCGTTAAAATGGCTATTATCAACAAGACAAGATAGAGTAAGTGTCTGTGAGGAAGTAGAGAAAAAGGAACCCTTATATACTGCTGGCGGGAATGAAAACTGATTCGGCCGGTATGGAAAATGGCATAGAATTTCCCCCAAAATTAAAAATAGAACTACCATACGATCCAGCAATTCCAATGCTGAGTATATATTCAAAGAAAATGAAAACAGAATCTCAAAGAGATATCTGCACGCCCATTGTTTGCAGCATTATTCCCAATAGCCAAGATATGGAAACAACCTCAGTGTCTGTCAATGGATGAATGAAGAAGATATGGCATGTGTATGTACATATATATATACACACACATACATATGTGTGTGCATATACACAATAGAATATTATTCAGTCATAAGAAAGAAATCCTGCCATTTGCAACAACATGGATGGACCTTAAGGACATTATGCTAAGTGAGATAAGTCAGACAGGGAAAGACAAATACTGTATGATCTCACTTATATGTGGAATTTTTAAATGCCAAACTAGTAAAAACAAATAGTACAGTGGTGGCTACCCGGGGAGGGGGCAGAGAAATGGGAGACAGTGTTTGAAAGCACAAACTTGCGCCTAGGAGATAAGTCCTGGAGATCTCACGCAAGGACAGGGATTATCATCAACAATACTATATTAGAAACTTCAAAGTTTCTAAAAACTAAATCTTAATTGTTCTTACCACAAAAAAAGAAATGATAATCATGTCTTTTGATACAAGTATTAAATGCAATATGATACAGGTGTTAGCTAATGCTATGTGGCAATCGTATTGCAATATATAAATGTATCAATAAACACATTGTGCATCTTAAACTTACACAGTATCATGTCAATTATATCTCAAAGTGTCAAAATTAATTTATAAAAAAATTTTTTTAATGTCCATACTACCAAAAGTGATGTACAGATTTAGTGCAATCCCGATCAAAATCTCAGTGGCACTCTTTACAACAACAGAAAAGCAATTCTACAATAACACAGAACCACGGAAGGCCTTGAGCGGCCGAAATGACGCCGGAAGAGAACGAAGCTGGAGGCGTCGCACTTCCTGAGCTCGAACTCCAGTCACGGGCCCCTTAACCGCGGGGATACGGCCTGAGAAGTGCGCCGTTAGGCGGGTTCGTTAGGCGGGTTCGTTACTGCGCAAACATTAGAGACGGCACTTACTCAGACCTAGAAGGTGTGGCCATATAACCGGCTGGACCTGGGGGCTATTCACGGTCTTTTGTGGTTCTACAGTGCTAAATAACTGCGCTCGAATTGGTTCCGTTGGCTTTTGTGAACATCTTTACCACCCGCAATCTAAACCTGGCTTTTTCAGCCATGATTCTTGGCAAAGCAGATCTGACCCCACCTGGAATATCCAGAGATCCAGAAAGATACTGAACTTTTTATTTTTTGACCAGCTGGTAGTCTTGAAATATTACCTATAAATGAAGGATTTTCTTCAAGTAAGACTTTCTGATTGTAATGGAATCAACTCTTTGATAACCCTGGCATTGCTCTTGAGATAAACAGGCTAAGCACACATTCTTAACACGATTTAAAAGGCCTTTCATAATCTGTCCTCTCATCCCTTCAAGTCCCCTGTTCCATGTCCCTTATCTCTAACTACCCTCCTTCCTCGTTTGGTGATTCGATGACACGGGCTTGTCTCCACTGTCAAATATACCATAGACCCCTGCCAATGGGCCACATGTTGCCGAAGGCATCCCTCATTAAATTTTAAAACAAATACCAAGTTCAATGTTAATAGTGTAGTTTTTATTTTTAAAAGCTATATTATCTTAGATATTTCTGGACTCACTGAAGTGAGAGACAGCTGGAGTTAAACGTCTGGAAGCGACAGAGTTCTACCACAGTGACACCCCGCTGTTGATGGAGGAGCGCAGATTCGGATCTTACCATGGGGTCGCACGGAGGCGTGTGCATCTCAGCAAGTACCACATTTTCTAAGTTGTCACTGAAAACAAAGCTGTGGAAACTCTGAGGTATAAAAGTGGCTGTCGACTCACTTTCTTCAAGCAGATTCTTATACACCTGTGTCTGAGGTCGAGCCAGGCCTTTCAGTATTACATAAAATCCATCGTTTCCAACCACTGTAACAAAATAAAACCAAAAGAGATACACTTATATCCCAGACTTATATCCCAGGCTCTCAGATAAAGACGTGATGACCACACGCCATTATACTCACTTCACGCCATTATACTCACTTCACGTTCCACAGTCCCTTTCAGTTAATACAATGATAGCAGCTTTGCTGTAGCACCGAGGCATTTACAAACAATTTACTCAATAACAAGAACAACAAAGATATGTCTACACATTCATAGAATCCCTTCCTGACGGCTGTTATAGTAATCAACACTCTATGCAACTGATCGGATTCTAGGGAAGAAACGTGGTAACACGTCAAAATAGAAATTTAAGAGATTATGGGAAAAGTAGAACCAGAAAAGTCCTTGAAGTTTTAAAATGTTTACCTTCCCCTCAAAAATGCCATTTTGCCTATTTTACATTGGTCACAACATCCACCTACTATCAATTTCCATTTATGTTTGCTCTGGGGATGATGACGGTCACCCGTAGAGCTCAGCGAGGACGGCGACTGAAAGCTCGGCAGGGGCGTTTGCTCCAGTATTGCTCCCGCTCACACTGTAACTCTCCACAATCTGTCGTGTGATCCCAATTCCTCAAGTTCAACTCCGTGCCTGCCGGTCTGGCAGGCCTGTTCACTTGTGAGCACTGGAATGCTGCTTGCTTAAGGCAGCTCTAGGTCTTCTGAAGCTGGTCCCTTAAGTGAGGCAGGCCTGGGAACCGGGTGCTGTCTCTCCATTTCTCAACTCTTGACAGAGCCGGAGCAAATGAATGAAGTGTTATTAACTTGCTATAAACAAAAACTTCACAAATTGATTTTCAGGGACAATTGTGTTTCTTTTTATGCCCTAAGAGATGTTGACTGCCTGCCTTCTCTGCTTCTCTCTAAACTAAGGGCATATTAGTGGGGTTCTCTTGGTCACCATCTGTGCACAGTGATTACAGGAGAGTGATTTTCAGTCTTCTCTAAAGCAAGAGTTGTGTTTGCTTTGAAGCCTAAGCTTAAAACAGATTCCTTTCTGGGTAGCAATATCACTTTTCACTAAACAGCGAATCTATGTGGCAAGGGCACTGCAGGAATATTGCTTTTAAATAACAATCAGGTGAGCTGTATGAGAACTACATTGTAGTAAGTACATTGTAGAGGCAAAAGACAGTGAAATTTTATAACAGTAATAATGATTGCGACCAATTACAAAAATGTACAAAAATATTACTAGCAGCTTTGTCAGAATAGCTAAAAGCTAGAAACGGCTCAGGTGTCCATGCAGAAGAAAATGCATAAAATCTCTTGTATATACACACATGGGAATATCACTCAGCCATAAAATGAATGAACCATTGATTCAAGTGACATGAATGAATCTCAGAAATACTGTGCTGACTGAAAGGCTTTCACCAAAAGAATACACACTGTTTCATTTCATCATAGAGTTCTGATAGCTGAGTTATACTAGAAAAAGAAAAAGGAAGACAGAAGAGCAGCTGCCTCTGGCAGGTGGCCAGAGAGGGGCGGGGAAGAAGCAGAGGGAAACTTCTGGGGTGACAGTGAAGGGGTTTGGGTTACAGCCACGGTCCCCAACCTTTGTGGCGCCAGGGACCGGCGCTCCTATGAGAACCTAACACCTGAGGATCTGAGGCGGAGCTGAGGCAGTGATGCTGGCATGCGCAGAGGGAAACTTCTGGGGTGACAGTGAAGGGGTCTGGGTTACAGCCACGGTCCCCAACCTTTGTGGCACCAGGGACCGGCGCTCCTATGAGAACCTAACACCTGAGGATCTGAGGCGGAGCTGAGGCGGTGATGCTGGCATGGGGAGTGGCTGCAGAAACCGATAAAGCTCGCTGGCCCGCCGCTCCCCTCCTGCTGTGCAGCCCGGTTCCTGACAGTACACAGCCCAAGGGTTGGGGACCCCTGTGTTACAGTATTTGTCAAAACTCATTGAACAATACACTTAAGGTACAAATACTATGCACATTACCGTATATAAATTTTGCCTTAAAAAAAATAAAGGACTGGAAACAAATATTGAATCTAGGTAAACACTGAAGTGTTTAGGGGTGCAATGTCCTCATGCTACACTTATATCAATAGAACAGAATATGATGCAAACATAGTGGGGAAAACTGTAGGAAAAAATGTGCAACTACAAGATGATGATAAACCTTTTTCGACCTCTTTCTGTGTCTTAAGCCAGACACTGTTCCAAACATAATACACTTATTAACTTTTTCTATCCTCTTAGCTATTCTATAAATCAACTACTATAACTGCCCCCATGTTATAACTGAGCACACTGAAGGCACTGAGAAATGAAGCATCTCGCCCCAGCTCGGAGAGCCAGCAGCAGTATTTAAACAGCACTGGGTCAGGCTACAGCACTGTGCTGGCCCTTGTAAGTCAGTGTAGCATCAACATTCTCTCTCCCTCTCTCTGCAACCCATCCCTCTCTTTCCCTCAAAATGTATTTTGTAGTAATATGGTTTCAGTTATGGTAAAGTAAGACTACATGTGTGACCTACACAGATGTTTCATTTTAAGTGGAAAGAAAGCCCATTTCAAAGTAATATATGTTAGTTTAAAATTTTGAAAAATAAAAAAAAATCAACATGTGACCTATAAATATATGTTTATGGCATAAACATTATTTAACATAAACAAGACTGAAAAGAGATTTCATATTACAGTTGTTCATAAGAAAATGGAGTGTAATTTAAATAAAACTCATCAAAAAAGACACTTAATCACTGAGCAAAATAATAGTGCTTGATTAGAACTGCAATGATACCTTGCCCTAGTTTTTCTCCGTAAGGTTACTGCTCTTAAATCTTAATAAGTAGGTTGATAGACTGTTCCTAAAAAAATGGCTCATTAATAAACCTTTCTATAGATTTCCAAAAATTGAAACATAGTAATTCCTGTTATCCAAACATGCTAGACTTGCCATGAAAAACAGCTATCACATACTGACCATCAGTCATCTGCCATGCACTGTGCTAGGTGCTCTATCACTGATACTTTAATCATCAAAAGTGTTATTTATCCTTAGTCCATTTTTCAAACGAAGAAATTAAGGCACAGAATAATTAAGTAACATCAAAAGTCACAAAGCACATTAGCTTCTGGATGTCTTCAAATATATTTCCAACATCTGAAGGATATACACACGTGTGCAAACCCATAAAAACACATACACACACAGGAGTGTGCATGCAGTATTAAATTTTATACACACACACACATACATACATACAGTATGGTATATGTGTATTTGTGTGGATATATATACACATATACACATATACATAAACATAGATGATCATTTTAAAGATTTTATAAAGGATCTCAAAGGGGACCCAAAGAATTCTTAGCATTTTGTTACAAAGTTCAGTTCAAACATTAAACCTGAAATTAATGTAGCTGGTTGATTTATGAATCTATCAAAATTAGTTTGGTAGAGATTTGAAAATAAAAGAATTTAAAAAAATTTTTAGAAATATATGCAGAGTGTGATGAGTTTCGGGGTGACATCTTCATACAAATACTAAGGGAGAAAAAAGAAAATTCTCAAATGAAAAAATGGCATAAAATTGAATTAAAAATGAACACTCAAGCAATTAACAGAATTCTCAGAATTCATACAATATAGGAAATCAGCTCTCAAATATATGGCAAATGATATAAATACCATAAAAAATGTATAAAGAAAAAAATGCAGTAGAATTAAGCTCTCAAATAGCAATTGAAATATTACTTACAAATCACGAAGCTGTGTTAAATTTATGAATTATGACAAAAAAGGCATTTATTAATATTCAAGATAAGTATAAGCATTTGAAATTCCTAAGCAATGAGAAGAAACATAGTATAGGCTTCTTACGTTTTCAAAATACACAAAATTATTTTGTGTAACTTTTAGAAAAAAAAAGAATACTCCAAGCGACAAAGAAAAAATTGACTATAAGAATATAAAATGGCATTAAAATGAATCAAAATGGCATTAAATCTTTATTCCCAGATTTTGCAAAAGTAAAGGAATTTGATAAAATCAAGGTGGTTAGGAGTAAGTTTTCTACAATTATTTATCTAGCCGCCCTCCATGACATGAAAAGCCAAAAGAAACATTTTCATAGGACTTGAAGAAAATTCCTAGTTCAGGACCTTGTTATCTTAAAATAGCTTTTGTATTAGTTGAACAAGAGATATTCAAAATGAATTAAGAGTGCTAATAATAGAAAGTTTAATTAATCATTTTGATTGTGACTTTTCAACAGGTTCAAGGCCAAACACCAAGAGAGACTGATGCAAATACGCTGGTGAGCTCGTTGCGAAGGCCCCGCCCCCCGCTCCCCGCCCCCACTCTGGTCCACAGAACCTGCGGTTGAATCCCTCCATTCTAAACGATGTCAACGTCTGCAAGAACTGCCCTGGATAAACAGTCACATTGCCACCTGGTTAACTCTCATTTGGCCTATAAAACTGAGTTTGAGTGTGACCTGTGTACCAGGAGCCCTCCCCGACCTGCGCCTGCGCCCCACCGCCCTGACTGACGCCCTCCCTGGGAGCCTTTAACAGGGATTTCACTCACAGGCTCTGCTTTTTCAGTCTCAGCGACGCAACCTCTGGGACAAGGACCCCTGACTTTGCTCTCAGTATCTCCAGCCCACAGCACGTCACCCGAATGATTTTAGGCACGTAGCAAATACCTGAATGAATGAAAGCTTTTAACGATCCTCTACTGTATTTCTCTCCAAAGAATTTTATCTAACATTTGGGAAACTCCCTTTTCTTTCCTTAGAATTCTGTCTTTGGAAAAATGAGATAAAACCCTTTGATCCCCTCTTTTCCTGTCAGACCATTAGGTGGGAGCCTCGGGAAGCACCAGGAAGTCGTACATTTTAAGCCAGGCCGTTTAATTTGTGGAGCCCCCCTTATAACGCCTAAATAGTCCCAGAGATAACATAACAATAGCAATGAATGGCCTTTTCATAGCTCTTCTGA